CATACAAAGGAAATCGGGCGCAGTGCTGCTTACTCCATTTCTTTCCGGTAGACACAGTCAAACAGAATGTTAGACCAACCTTTCCACAATGGACTGAAGGGTTCAATGTCCCGCCCGCACTGCTCAAGTTAACGGTCACGATTGATGGATCCACGATTCAACTGTACCACCAAGGTTGCATTGCCATCAACACGAGGGGTGCCACCGTGTATGGTTCCAAACGGACCCTGGTTCGCAGAATGATAATGCATGTCCTCCCCAAGCCGTCTGGCAATCATGAGGAGTGGGCCGACTTCATGAAGCTGTGCAGAATCGAACTGCAGAGAAGCCTGACACTTCAAGGGCGCTCGAATCGCACTCGGAGATGCTGAGCCTGTCGAGGTGTGCCAACAGAGTCCTTTTTGGAGCATGGAGCGCACTTTGTCACCGCCTTCCCCCGGGGGAGGGGGGCCAAGGATGAGGGACCGCTTGTCTGAGTTCATTTTGTCCCATGCACTCTGCAGGTCATTGCCTTTGCAAGTTGGGCGCTCGGTCGCCCGGTGCACCCTCTTTCCAACGGCAAGCTCTCAGTGCATTGAGGACTGGGCTCAACCAAATCGTGCTCTCCACAACGATTCCTTGGGATTTTGACCACAGTGAGTCGGAGACAGAATTGATAATCCCTTCTCTTCTTGCGATGCCGCTTGCATCCGACACTTGGAAGCAACAATGCAGCTGCAGGAGTGTGCCTTTTTGAAAAAGTCAATCTGCAACAAACAGTAACTGCCGTGTGCAATGTCGTGTTCTTTGAACTAAGTCACGCATTGCCTTGCCGCATAGCAATGGCTCGCAGTGTTCCAAAACTCCTGCACATGTTTGCGCACTCCTGGCGCATATGAGCAAGCATCAACCTTGTCACACAAGTACTCACGGCCCACAAAAAGGAATTTCGCTGCTTCTTGACCTTCCAGCACTGAGCGCCAGCAGAAGAACGAATTCAAGGCCCCGTCTCACCTCTCTTTCACAACTTTTGCTTCGGCTTAGATGGCCCTGCTATGAGGCGAGCCCGGCTCTTTGTTTCTGCGTTTTTGGTTTTTGTGGGTTTTTTGGTGGTGTTTGTTGTGGTGTGCTTTGTTCTTGTTCCTGGCTGGTATCCGATTAGTGCACCTATTCAAATTCAATCAAGGTGACTTGTGCCTCTCGGCACACATAGCGCCTCCACCAAAAGCGCAATGCCCCAAGGAACCGGGCATCGGTATGCCACTCACCGTGGTAGGTTCTGTCTTTGAACGGCTATTCGACTCAGCATGCTCACCACGCCGACTCAGACAGCAGTAAGTCAGCAGGCTGCTGCAAACGACTCCCGCTGCAAAGACCGAAACATCAAAGCTCGAACACGAAACTTGCTTGATCCAAGACACAAGACCTAACAGTGTCTTACGAACTGTTGCAAAAAACGTGCCTTTCTGGGCTCGAAGTCTGCATGACTCTTTACGCGGTTAATTCGGTTTTAAATCCTTGAAAGATTAGCTCACAAAGCTTCTTGGGATAGTGCTGCGTCTCCTTCCAGTTGACATCTTTGGAAGACAAATGATCACGACGACCATCACAGACACAGACCTTAAGACTCTTAAGCAAACGGGTACTATCAGTGCCTATTCTCCAAGTCTTCTTGACTAGCTGGTTCCTCTACATCAAGTCGACTGGGCACGCTTCAACGAAAGTGGAATATAGAGCTCTCTGTCTCAGAAACTCTTTCGTCTGGTGCGAACCCTAATACGCGCGCCGCTTTCGCCCTTCAATCGCTGCGAAATCAGCAACTTCTGACAAACGTAGAAACCCTTTCCAAAGCTTCTTTTGGGCTCGACACCACTCTCGAAGATGACTCATGTAATCCTGAGCGGACATCCTCCTGTCCGCACGGGATCCGTCATCTGCCTCAGTATTCAACACTTCCAAACTCTCTTCATTTCGGATTCCGGTGACGTGCAAAACTCGACAACAATCACAAGACTCTTACACGCAACTTTCTCTGTCTGCAGTTTCCCATGGGCTACACGACACTTCGTGAATTTGCACAGGTCATCTTGTGCTAGTTAAGAGAGAGTTACGGGCCAGGTTGCGAAAGCAAAGAACCACCAACAAAACCCGAACCAAACACAAACCAAACAAACACAAAACAAACAAACAAAAACCACGACCGCGAAGCAACCAGGGCGTATGTAATTCAAGAAGGGTCCTGTAGACCAAAAAGAGTGAGTAGGGTGAAACCCGGGGCTGCGAATTGAGCAAGAAGGCCTCTCAGCACAGCTGGACAGTGCAAGCTCTGTTCTTCTTCGTTTGTCATCGTTTGTCATCGTACACACTTTCTTCATTTAGTGTTGCAAAGCGGCCTGGTATCAGACCGCTGTGAGAAGGTTTACTTCCCAGCGCCGTGGGAGCAAGGCTCATTTGAATCCAACTTGCTCAGGCATGGTTGCACCAATGTCGAAAGACTTGTGTTCGAGGTGTCTGTCCTCATTGAGGAAGAAGAAGCCGTGATGATGTGAGCCTGTTGATGTCCCAGAAGGGGTGAAGAAATGCGTTGGTTGGATGGCCACCTCGCTCGTGCTTGTTGCTTTGTTTGGTTTTTGTGGTTTTGTGGTGTTTGGTTTGTGTTCTGAAAGTGAAGGAACCTGACCGTAACACTGGAATTAGAGTCTTGAAACTTTGAAAAAGTTTTGTTGCCTTTTCGAATGTTTAAGAGTTTTTTTGTAAGGAACTCTTTGTGTTTTGTATGCATATGTACAGTCCTCGAGTGACTGTTACTTTTGGCTCAAGTGTGAGTGAAAAGGGCGCGAGGGAGTGCGCTTCGTTAGCTTGAGTTGTTGTTGACTAGAAGAGTTTCAAGAGTGAGGGAACGCGTTTTGGAGTGTACCGGACTCATCTGCATTGCATGTCCTTTTGAGTCTCTGTCACTCTGGATAACCAAGCGCGCATCAAGTCGATTTACTTGCCAACTTTCTGGCCATCTCCCCCCGCTGTACCCAGTCTTGCCATGTCAATTTCTCCGCGCCAATACCTACTTTCCGCATCTCTCCATCCATCTCCAACATCTCCATCTCACCACTCTCCCCCAAACCCACGCAGTTCCCTCCAACTCCAGACACGGACAAGATCACGCAAGTCAACACTTACACTCAACTTCACAGGGGGGTCCGCCAAGTTCCCGTTATGATCCGGAAGTCTAAGCGCATATCGAATGTTTTTTCTGTAAAAGCTGATGGAATCCGGCGAGGAAGACCCAGGTTTCACTTGATAAAAACTTTTTTGATGATCCTGTAAGGGACTCAATCCCAAAATTAGCTGCGTCTGAGCTGAACATGTGGGTCTGTTGCTTGATCGTAAATCAAGAGGCATCGCCGCTTGATCGGGGTTGTGAGGCTGTTGAACAGCCAGCCCGGTGTGAACGTCTGGCCTCTCTGTGGAAACACAAGAAATGAAACACTCTTTTTGCAAAGCGCTTCCACAATGAATCGAAATGATGGGTAATAAACTTTGTTTCCGGTCTCCACTGACGCATGTTTCATCTGCGTTCGGGTCTGTTGAAACTGACAAACATGCACCCTTTCTTTTTCACTTTGATTCCTTCTTCTTCTCGTTTGGTTTCGAGCTTGAAAATGGACGGTTTTCGATTTTTTTTTTGAAGTTGTTGGGTTTGGTTCAGCTGTGTCTGGAAATGGTTTTTGGTTTGCAATGCCTTTCAGAATTTCTTTGGCCTTTTGGAATTTTTTTGGTCATTTATCACCTTTCACATTTCTTTTTTTTTTGCGACGTTTGGCATCGACCTTGCAACGCCCAATGGAAAAACATCATTTGGGCTTTACTCAGACTTGACTTCTTTGAGTTTGGGGTGTCTCAAGGCTTCACTCTTAAGTCTTTTGGTTCTTGTGTCTTTGAGGTTTCTTCGGACACTTTCATTCTTTTGGAGTGTTTTTGGGTCTGGCGTATGGCTTCATCTCAGAGTGCTTGGGTTTGGCTTAGATTCAAGTTTGGTGATTTGTTGACGTTTGGCTCAGAATCTTACTGCTTTGGAATTTTTTGGGTTTAACTCAAGGCTTCACCACATTCCAGGAACGTTTTTCGGTCCAGCTTCGCGTGACCGATTCGGATTGGTTTGGTTTGGATGTTGTATTCTTGCCTGGGGTTGATTCATGGCCTGTTTGGCGCTGGACAAACACATGATTGTGAACATGTACGTGTGATGTGAGCCCACCTTGAACATCATTGGAGGAATGCAGCGACCCAACTGTGGCAGTGGAGTTCGAACAGTGGCAGCTTCATTGAGGGATCGGGTGGAAACAGGAGAAGTTTATAGTTGTGAAGGTGTAAAACAAGTGAGACATTCTCGCTCACACCGATTTCTGAACCGATACATGAGGACGGTATTTGTCGGTCAGCAGAAGGGTGTGAGAAGGAGGTTGGACATATCATCGAGTGCGACACGGAGAGATTGCAGAACCAGAGGAAGAAAGGATGTGAAGAGTGTAAGAGATTTTGCGTTGATGCGAGTTGTGAAAACAACATACGACATTTGTGGGCACAACGAGGAGTTTGCATGCTACGAACTGGTACAACGAAGAATTTAAAATTTAAACCTTGACTTCAGAATGTAGTGAATATTTTCATGGAAATGGGCCCAAAACATTTCAACCGAACCGGGGTGCGGGTTGCTCCTTTCGAGGCCTCAATTTGTATTGCAACGAAGAAACACATGCACACAAAATCTTTGCCATAATTGCCGCAGACGCAGGTGTTCAAAAAGATGTCGAAGCTTCCCCCACACAATTTTCCAGTTGCAGGCAGACAGCATTTGTTGAAACAAACATGGTGAATTGTGTTCAAACATGTGCATCATATGAGATTAGTGGACACTGTGCGTTACTGTTTGTTATGTTTCAACATTTGTTGGACTTGCATGGATTTGTATTGGACAAGAACGTTGTCACAATCACCATTTGGATTTCAACGCAGACAAAAAACCTGGGTTTCTGTGAATTTTTGAGCTCCACGCCATTCGCTCCGTTTGGGTGGCAGCCATGCTTCCCGGAAAAAAACGTTGGAATCTTTGGTGGCTGGTAGTTAAGCTTCGGGTTGGGAATGGTTGTGATTCTTTGTAGTTGATACAACCCGTGCACCAATTTTGTATGCATGCTACCATGAGGTGCTGCAGTGGAAATGGGTTTGCATCTAAGTTGATCCATTTTTTGTTGGCATGGTCCTAAGGCCCTAAGGTCCTATGGCCATGTTATCAGATTGTTTGTATGTAATGCTGATACCGATACCCGGTCTTGACTAAGGTTCAACAGCTCATCCCTACGCAGCTCAGCGCCAAGAGCAGATCTTGAAGGAGATCAAGGCTCCAAACAAGTCAGAGTCAGAGATGATTTTTTCACTTTTTTTCAAACGTCAACGCTTCAATTTCATATGAAATTAGATAGAGTCGAGCCAATGAACACGGATGAACGTGACAGAGTAGCACTGTGATATTGTTCCTTTGGAATTCAGGCTGAAGCCGAGGCGTTGTGCCGCCTTTATGGCCACAGTCTCGGGTTTTGTGAAGATATCAACCAAGCCTGTGATTTTTGATTTTGATTTGGTGGATTGAATGAGGAAAATCGCTGGAAGAGATGACGGAGCGTTTTTTAAACGGTCGCTTTTCAATCAGTTTCAGTGGACTCAAATGGATTGAATACTTTTGCTACGATTGATGGCCACACCGCCTGCAGGATTCCTTCAAGTCCTTCAAGTCTCCGAATTGCAAGCGGCGTTTCTTTACACAAACAGATTTCAAGGTTCGCAGCAAAGCTCTGCCACCAGGCTGACTGGGATGTTTCTGAGATTTGGTTCAAAGTTGCCTCTTCCACCCAACCAACATGCACAAAGGCGGCTAGTGAAGACCGAATGTCCAACGTGCTTCCTCTCGATTGTTGAATAATGCAATTTTCCTTCGCTGCAGTTTTCAAGCGTCCTGAACGGACATTCTTTCCGTATGCCCCAACCTTGGTTGGTGCGAGCGGCTCTTTTCTCAGCTTCGATCTTGTTGGTTGACTTGTGTAAGTTGTCAAGTTGACTACATGTTCATATATAGATTGCTTTCCCTGGTAGTCGCCTTGTGCTGCCTGTCAGTTTGAGGTCTTGGGCAAGGACCAGGCAACTATTGTCATCAAGAGATTGGTGGCACAGCGGAAAGACGCAGGCGTGGGGCTGGTGAACATTGAGCATTCAGAAGATTTGCACCCAAGCGGAGGCATATTGAGGAAGACGATCAAGAACTGCCTCCATCAAGAGGATCTCAGGCTTGGACCTTTAACAGTAACACTCTGGAATCCAGAAAAAGTCACATTTTAGGCCAGTGAAAGATCCAGGCCGGCAACATGCAGCATCCTCAATAGAGTTAAGAGAACAAACATTCCTAAACTAGATTCCCAAATGGTTTCCACTTCCACTGTACCCATGGATCAACCCAAGAAACTGAGGTGTTGTCCGTGCTAAGTCAGCCACTCTCTAAGAGTGGCAACTTGCTCGACAAGACAAGCAAGTAGTATTTTGCAGCAAGCTTGCTGTATTCAAAACCACAGCTGTCCTGTGGATTGTAGCATCGGCTGCATCATGAACCTCCGAGGCCTGCGACATGGCAAGACCCTGCAGCTCCAAGAGATCAGTATCGCGGAAACCTTTGATGAGCGCCAACGACAAGTTGAGTTTGTTGAATTTCATATGGATCGTTTCGTGTACTGCTTGCGACTCATCGTGCATCGTATGCTGCAAAGGTCAGCCTTGCTGCGCCAAGAGATTCAGAAAGCAGCAAGGATCTGAGCAAAGAGATTAAAGAGTTTGCAGATTCAAACATATTCTGTGAGTTGCTGAGGTGCTACAAGAGGTATCTCGATCATCCACGCCTCAGCGTGTGTCCTGAGGCGTAGGCGGTCTTGATGGTTTTTATAGAAACACCACGGTACTGACTCGTACTAGTTAAGTTTCCCGCGTCCTAGGTAGTAGCTACCTAGTTACTACTAGCTACTAGGGGCCAACCCCCCTTTAAAATGAACATCAGTACTGTAGTTGCAGATGTACTTTTTTCAGATTAGTTGATTAGCGCCTCTGCCAAGCAGTGGCAACTTCGTTGGGGACCTAAAACATTGCATGGGGTCAAAACGATGGTTGTTGCGGGGATGGCCTTGTTTGTTTGTTGATTCTGTTGATTGGGGATGGCCTTGTGGGATCACAAGATGCTTTTGGACCCACAGAGATGCATCAAAAAGGCCAAGACAGGATCCTGCAGCCATTCTTGGTTTTGAGCTTCTGAAATGGACCGTTTGTCAGTCATTGAACATCATTGAATCATGTGTTCGGACATCTGAATGTGCTTTAACTGACTGCAACACAACAACACTACCATATGCAATGCATCGCCTGGCAAGAGTTAAGCTGCAAAGCAGTCTATGGCAGCACTGCCCTCAGAGCTTTGTGGAAGAATCTGGGGCAAGAAGCATGTGACATGCTCCGCGTCTCACCAAGTCTCTCAGAACGGTTCACAGGCAAAGTGTTCAGACATCATTACGTTTTTGCACGTTTTCACCAGTTGCCCGCGCGGGAAGTTCCTACCTCAAACTAAACCAAGACAGATGACAAGTTCCATTCGATTGTGTATGACGGATTCAAATGACACGGGCCGCTTGAGATGCCCTGAGGACAAAGCTGAGATGCAAGCTCGGTGGCCTGCCGTCGATAGCTGTAGGCTCAGTGTTGGCCCCAGTTGAGGACTCTGATAGTCACATGTGTTTTGACTGCCAAATCTTCCTCAGCCAAATTGTGTGAGCTCAGTTGTCAGTTCTTCAGGTGCGGACAAAGGGGTGGAAGCCTTTCCACTCCATGTGCGCCGGAAGATTTGTTTGGAAGAGGGTCATTTATGCGAACATGCTGCGTCGGAAACTTTGACGACAATGCTGATGGGTGCCACTTTGTTTGTAACACCGGATAGAACCTTCAATCAGTGACAGGCCAAAAGGTCACATCAGGTATTGTGTGTATGTGATAAGCACAGCCGAGTGCAAATTTTTAAGTCTCGGCATAGCGCAAAGGCCTGCTTTTGTGCCGGCAGGCAGTTTAGGCCTTCATTAAGTATTGAAGGACTCAGAAAAATCTGTACTGCGTGCTGATTCAGTGCCAGTGTTGGATCATTTTTCCTGCAATTCCTTCCTGTTCTTATATATATAATGCTTGCAGGCTGTGAAGTGCTTCGTTTTCTGTCACTCCGGTTCTCAAATGTCCGCTTTCTGACCTTTCATCATCCATTGCCTGAGGTGCTAGACCACCTATCTATCGGATCTCAACTCAACTATCCTTACAGATACTCCGCTTGTCAAAACCATTCCTGTTCTGGCACAAACAAGGCCCTTGTGAGTTGGACAGGTCTAGTTGCAGCTTTATCTCTTCATGGAGAGGTCGGGCTTCTATCCCAGGCGTTCCACATGAGGGCTCTCAGGAGCATCCAAACAGAGAGAAGGAACCTTCAATGTCCACAGTCGCTTTCGTGAAGTCAACAGGTTTGGAAGCAACAGGCAGTGGCACTTGACAAGGACCCAAGCTGTTTGGTCGAGAACTCCGTTTCTTCAGCACAGACAGTACCTGAACGCTTTCATCATCGTGCTGACACAAATGTCTATCAACTGTTGACATCTATCACAGCGTCAAAATTGCTCAGCTACCGAGTAGCCCACTACACCGAAAAGGTTGCCGAACTGTAATTGGTCAGGCAACCAAGCAAACTTGTGGCAGAACAAGTATTGAGCTGCTGCCAGGTGCATACTACTGGGAGATTTGGCTTTAGTGCGGTATTTTGGCTTTGCCATCACTTCCTCATGACTTTCAGCTTCAAAACACTTGGGCAAGAGGTGTTGGGATGTACAGTTCAGGAAAAGCAGTAAACCATGATTTGTTTGCCTGCCACGCAATTGAGGTACCGGGCAAATCGTTTGCGCGAGATCAGGCAGAAAGAAGCTGAAGCTGCGCAGGTGCAACTCGGAACTTGAAAGACTTTCTGTGCACCCTAAAGGTTTCAAAATGCACTTGAACTTCAACAAAGGCTGTAATTCAACCCAAAAAGATATGTAGGGTCAGCTGCAAGGGTGGCTTTGGACTTTGGACACAGTCATACTTTTTGTTTTTTCTTCGGTTGTCTCTGAGCAGTCAACGCTTCCTAAGACATTGACTGAATTGCATTCAGGACCAGAACGTGTATAGCTGTGCCTTAAAGCACTGGGTTTTTGGTGGTTTTAGTCTACTTTTTTCTGAATAAAAAGGGCATTTTCGAGCGTTCCTCATTAAACACCAGAGGTTGGATGTGACAGGTTGCAGCTGCTGAAGCTGAAGCAGCTGCCGATGCCAGGACTTTGGCAAGGAAAGCAAATGAACCACGTGCAGTTGGCCCAGCAGCTAAGATGCTCCAACAGAATCAACAGTAGCTGATGTTCGATGCCTTGTAGTTGGTAGAACTCCATTTTCCTGCAATTATTCACTTAAGGTTGGTACAACCCCTTTCCAGGCACTGAGCTTTGGCTCATTGGTTGGCTTTAGCGTTGACGACTTCGATCTCGTTGGATGCTCCTTATTTGCAGGCAGCCCGCCTCATGCGGGCCTTCGATGTGCTGCCTGAACGAGAAGCATTGGTCACGTTTTCGACAAGGCCACTTCGTCGTTTTGGTGTTTGGCACTGTTTGTGCAAAGAGTTGCTTTCACCTCCGTGTCAGTGTGGAGGCTTAACGTCGACTTGACAAGTGAAACCTGCTTGTTTGCTGAATAGTTTGGAGCGTTCTCTTTGAGTCTTTTTGTGACCTCGACCTCAAACACCCAGGAGAGAGTGTTCGAGGCACATGTTACTTGCCATGCACCCAGAAAAGAACTAGAACACATCTGTTGCCCAATGCTTCAGCTGAGGCCTCATGGTTTGAGCACTAAGATCCGGGTCTTGGCTTTTTGCCCTGACGACCAGATCCAGGAGACTATTTGTCGTTGTGCAAACACGCATCAAGCCATTTCAAGCCACTTCAAGCCTTTATAGTTGTTTGAAATTGCAAATCAATGGGAGTCTAATTTGTCATGACCGGCAGTGGGTTGCATGTCAGGAGATGATGGAAGCAGGAGCAGATGTGGCAGGTGCAACTTTATTTCATTCTGGGCTTTTTTGTTCGAGACGGAGCATTAAACATTTTGAGTCTAAAACAAAAACCGCGACACCTCACATGGCACCAGAAAGTCAGGTATTACGGAGCCTTTGAGAAGAATCAACCAAGGCCACGGAAGACAGGGGAGCTTATCATGAAGCCATGAAACGTTTTGCATCCACACATAGCAGGTTGGATGGGCTTTGATCGTTGCCTGGCTACGCCCAGCATTATGCAAAGTTCTCATATTTGCAGCACATGTTTCACTTGTACTCAAACGTGCGGATTCTGCCAGCAAAGTCTCAGATGCAAAGAGCCCAGGCCTCAAGTCATGAAAGTGGCCAAGGTCTTAGGTCCAAGGCCATCGACTTGTTCATATAGAGATTTTGTGCATTTTCTCGAGCCTCAACATGCGTTCGTTGGCTTTCTCGTTAGGAAGATGATGCCAAATCCCAAAAGTGGGACTGTGGTGCCCAACCTGAAGACTGCAATCAAGGAGGCTCCACAGTGCCTTGTCGTGCACTTTTTGGGAGACTGTCGCAGCATCTCTTCAGGCCAAAAGTGGAAGCCTCTTAGAGTACAGAGCAGAAGGAGAAGGAGATTTGAAGGCGACTCGTTATGCCTGGCATCAAAAGCTCCTGAACATTTTACGACAGAAGACGATGCATGATGACACATTCCCTTGACTAGGCCACAATTGGTAGTGCAGAGTTTTCGGATGCGAAGATCCTAGAGAATCTTAAATTCCTTGCGGCTCGACCTGAACGAAAGAGCGATGAGAGTTCTTTGTGAGTCGACTTGGATTTTGGCTTGTCTTGTTTCTTTTCGGCTTCAAGGTTCAGACTTTGCTGAGAGCCAGGCCACGTTCTAGCACCGCAGGCCGATCCTTTTAGCTGTATTCGGGAATGGCACAGCGTTCGAGAGCTCCAGGTGAGGACTCAGCACGCACTCCGCCTGGAGCACCTGGCAAACCGCTCATCGGAAAGAGTCAAGGTGCGGTTTCCTCAGGAATTGACACTTGAGAGTAGGGAAATTGCTATAAAAAATGGAGGCCATCGCTATTAGGATGGAGGCCATCGTGGATGGGCGAATGAAGTGAGTATAGGGGGTGTGGGGGGGGGAAAGAAAAGACGTGTTCCAGAAACCAGTAAAGTGTAATGTATTTTTTTTTGGTCTGGTGATGTGAGTGATGTAATTGACGCCGAAGAGTGCATCATTAGCATCACGAAGAGCTCACTGATTGGACAGTCTTTTGACAAGGGGTGGGAGTTCGGTAGAGGACAGGAAAGGGGGACTACGTGACAGGAAATGCAAGAAAAGGGCTCGGCGAGATGTTGTGCCTCTCAGCCCTCTGTTTTCCTGTGGCTAATCAGAGTCGAAGGGAACGCACGTAACGATGTCACTCGTAGAGGACTGGAAAGGGAATAGAATGCAGTCAGCAACCTTTGAGTTGCTTGGGAGGCAGGAGTTGGGCTGTCTATCCTATGCTCAGTATCAGTGGATGGGAGCTGAACCCGGTAGAATGTAGCGAGGGACCTTTGAGTTGCTTGGGGGTGCCCAAGGGCTGTTCACCGGATAAAAAGGGCACCCCTCCGAGCTATACATGTCCAAGGGAGTCGGGTTGTACGGACCGAAGTCTATCCTATGACCCGTAATGGTGGATGGGAGTTGATCCAGGCGTTGTGTATATCGGCTCTATCATATCGACCCTCAATGCGAAACTCTGCATCTCTCAGCCTTCTGTTTTCCCTTGGCCAATAGAAGTAGAAACAATTACAAGTTCAATTTCACTATGTGACAACAAGACCTTTTTTCATAACATAGGGATGGGAACTATACTGCCAATTCTCGATGTTATACAATCACGTGATCTTTGGTGCTAAACTTTCATCGGCCCACTCTTATGAGCATTAAACATTCTGTTCCACCACAGAGAACGGGCGGGACTCTGTACCACCAAAAACCTCTAATCTCTATAGAAAAAACGTTTCGCAACGTAGCAGGACATTTCCAGGCTTCATCTTTGCAACTACATATTCATACAGACAGGAGAGGAGAGGAAAACAAAAAACAGGCAAGGACCGTTCAGTTACTTAGGTGCTCTTCCTCGGCGTTGAACCAAGAGAACAAGGGGACCCGCTCCGAACTGTGAATGTCCTGCTCAGTTCAACCTTTGTCCTAACGCATGGGTTCCACTTCTATCCTATAACCACTAACAGTGAATGGGCCTTGATCAAGGCCTTGTACAGTATATAAAGAGTCAAGTATATCGACCCTCAATGGTACTTATCTGCCTTCTATTTCCCTGTGCAAAACCGCACTAGAGGTCAGTGCAATGTCGACTTCACCCCATAACAACAATGTTACGGAGGCTGGCTTTCGTCCCCTCCTTTCTCAGGTGTGCTCAGATAGTGGATTTGCCCAATTATATTTCGATTGTCCATAATCCCGTACCCCTCTGACAATGCAGCTGTAACTTCAGTCATGCTGGCACTCGCTCTTTGATTTCGTTGTGCAGGTTCTTCCCCTGAAGTGAAGGCCAGCCAGATTGTGTTTTGGACGAAGGTCCTGCTGTTACAGTGAAATCAGCTCTCTCTCTCTCTCTCTTTTCTTTTTTTGCTCTCTCTCTCTCTCTCTATCCAAAAATATCGGTAGTAGTTTTGTTCGCACAACTTGAGTACTGGAGGATATGTACTTCCGAGAAGCTTATGTGCGATTGGGAAGCAACGGGCCGCCAATTCGCACTAGCCTTGGACCGGGATATTTTTCGCTTTTACTTGCTGTGTCCCGTTTGCCTTTGTCCTTGTATGAAATCTGCAGCAATCTGTGAATTTGATGTTCAAAGCTTTGGATGCAGCTACCAGTCTACCATATTGCAAGCCCCTTGAACCTTGCAAGGTATTGATCCTGAGTCAATGATGCCATCTTCAGTTGGATATTTTAGATAGCATTGGTGTGGAAGGTTTTGGCAGAATGACGTGTTGCACGTGCATTGGTTTGAAATGTGTTTGCCTTGCGGAACTTGTATGACCATCCTGTTAACCTCTACTGCCAGAAAGCTTGACATGTACATAAATCGATGAGATGTGAGTGGCAAAATACCTTGCACCACAAACGATCACAGTGGTGAACATCGCTTCATTTCATCGCGGCTGCACACTGAACGATCTCCTGTTTCTTTGGCAGTTTGGCTCAGCAGTAGCATAGCAGGAAGTCCTCTACTAAGGTGCTTGGCCCGACTCAGCTATGCGCTACTCGTTGTCATTGTGTGTTTGTTGACCAGGCACCTGCAGCCATGGGGAAAAAGGGAAAGAAGAAAGCCTTGGATCCCGAGGCAAATGGAGAACATTTACAATTACACTAGGGATTCGTCATTTCAAAAATAGATCTCTTTGGAATACCCAAGCGCAGTTCCTTAGGCAGCAGCCCGGCAAGCAGCTGCAGAAGCTGAAGAAAAGAAGCGGCAGGGAGCTCACAACTGGAAGTATGACTTTTCTTTCCCACAAGTTCAGTGAACAGATTTTGGGAGGTTTGATAGCTTCCCAAGGATTGAAATGATCAAGGAAGCCATGCGGCTGCGTTCCAATTGTGAGCGAGAGGAGATCGTCGAAGATCATTTTTTAACCCGAAACCTGTTTCTTTCAACAAAGTGGTCAGACTTTTAGTGGACGCATTTTCAGATGACCACTGACTCATGAATCAGTCAGGAGAATCACTTTCATCAGTTCCTAATGGAACGCGAGAAGATTAATTACTTCTGGATAGTGGAGAAGAAGACACTGACAGAGAAGCAGGTTCGCAATATTGACTACTCATGCTTGTATGGCTTGTACAGTCAAATCTGTTCAACGCACTTTGGCTGCAACACTTGAGGCAGACCTCCGCAACAAGCAGCGAGAGCTGCAAGACTTGGAAGAAAGGCAACAAATTGAGCAGCCGGCTCAGGATGTACAGAGAGATCCAATTGATGTAATGTAGTATAAAATAAATGTGATATATCGTGATATGTTTTTAAAGATAAGAGAGATGAATAGACGAAGTTAAGAGCCCCACTTTCTTGTTTATTTTTTCTTATTTGCACAGAGCACCACTGATTAGTTTTGCTGAGTGATATCGAGGAACTGAAACCTATTGAATTCAACTTATCCCAGAGAAAGACCTGGCGAATCTCTTCAACCTGCACCAGTTTGCTTGCATTACATTAAGGCTGAAAATGTTTCAACAGCGGTTGAAGCACTTGAGATACCATCAACAAGATGAGGCAGGTGGGTTCAACTTTTGCCTAGCTGCATGGTAATCCAAAGGCAGCACTGTCATGGAGGTGTTTTGTATTCACACCGCTTCGCGGCGAAGCCGCCAGCACAGTTGTGCTCTCTGAGCCGAGATCGATCGAAGTCAACGAAAGCGAAAACGGTCTGCTGAGCTGTACGACGTGGTCCGATTCTCATTATCTTCGTAGCTCTTCCGCCTATTCGACCAAAAAGTACTCTGTTAACACATAAGCACACCACGACGATTGGTGCGTCCCCGTGTTACCCGACGTTGCGTCTTAGATATCGCCTACGCTGGTACCGATCTTAGGCCTGTTGTGCTCAATCAGCCAGGGACAAACACGCACACGCTTTCAATGACGCCGTTCCATTCGGGCAGCGTAGCTCACATTATCAATAGTTTTCTCGTTTCTCTTTTGGAAGGCCGCAGGGCAAGCACACAGGATGTGAATAATACAGTCTCACTCCGGCAGCAGAACCGACATCGCCAATGACTTGCTCATTTTTCGTTGGTTTTTAAAAACTTCAAAAGCACAGCACTCCAGAGCAAAAATACCGCTCCCCCAAGCTAAAACTTAAGCTAATGCTATCTAGCAATTCTAGCCTAGCGGTTTACGCGACCTGAGACAACGCCTCAGCACCTTCGGTGTGGGCGGTTTTTGCGTTGGCTTTGCCAATTTTTGACAACTTTGCGGGGACCACATTTGAGCCACAACAGCCTTTTTGCTGCTGAGTTTCAGGTGGTTGAGCTCAAGACTGATGCCGAGTTGGGCCTGAAGCTGCAAGAAGATCACCATCGAATAACAGAGGCAGAGATCAAGAAGGACTGTTGCATGTTGTGAAAACATTTGGAAGCCAACTGGTTGTTAGTTTTTTTCGCAGTACATATCCGGCACCAGGATCAGCGAGCCCTGAAGATGGAAAAAAAGGAAGCGGAAGTGGTTCAACCCTGAGATCTGTCTACCAGGTTTGTTGCAAGATTGAGAATTAGGAAAGGATTCTATTGTGAGATAAGGGATCAGCCGCGAGACTTGTGCACCTTGTGAGGCCCAGCAGGATTTTACTCGCATGCTGAAGTTGGAGCAGGTGGGTGGATACGATTGCGATTTTCTCAGAACAATTGGACACTTTTGTGATCAAGGATCAGAAGATTCTTGAGCTTCGGCACGAGCAACTTGTTCTTGCATTCTTGACAAAGTTTTTCAGCTTTGCAACAGTTGCAGTTTGATGAACACAGCAACCACCTGAACTCTCAGGTTTGATCGAAAGGCTCGAGACATGCAGCAGAAGTATGAATTGAGAATGAAAGAAATCCGAGATGAAATGGTCGGAACCCGAGAAAATCTATGAACCAAACGAACCAAATAATCACTAGGGATTAGGCTTCTTCAACGAAGCTCTCCTCAGCTTGAAGGCAGCGGGGAGCTTGAAGAAGCCTGAGCCCTTCTGTGTCCAAGCCTAGTAGTTTACTTCCTCAACCTACTAGCTACTTGTTAGCCCACCCCCTCATGAGCCTACCCCCCTAAAGAAGAACAAATCCCAGTATCGGGTCATGAGTGCGGAGCTTGGAATGTGCGTTTCTGAGCTACCAGGAAAAGCAGCGAAGAAAGCAGATTCAGCAGATAGAGGAGTCAAGTCCTTAGCTTTTCTGGCTAGGAGATATGCCGCTTGCAGCTGCTTGCAGCTTGAATCGCAATTTCTACTTTCAATCTCAGCTCTTGGCAGCAGGTCGAAGAATTCTCAGATTGACCAGGCCAGAGTTTCAGAATGCGTTGCCGTTGTTTCTGACTGGTGGAGAGGAAAAGTTCTAGTTGAGCACAAGAGTTCAACGTGGATTTTCACCTGCAATTTGGTTGAAGAGCTATGCTCATGAGCAGGTAATGAAGAAGAACCAGCAGGACTTCACGGAGATCAAGGCATCTCATCATAAGATCTCATACTTTGATTCTTTGCATTTTGCTATGTACAGGTGTACTACCAAGAGATCACCGTCTCCAACTTTGACTCCATCAAGCGCCTAAAGGAGGCCTATTGCCCAGATATGCATGTTTCTCTTGCAGCAGTCAAAAGGTGACAGAATCCTTTTCCAGGACTATGCCGAGATCAAGAAGAATGAGAATGATGATGCAAAGAAAATGTACGACTTGGAACAAAGTCGGCTCCTTGGGGTGGCTTCAAGAGGTCAATTACAAAGGCTAGTCACGACTTTTGAAGGTTGCAGTTCGCTAAAATTGCAACTCAGGAAACAAGCAATTGAAAGAGCCAATGAAAAAAGCGAAGCAGGAGAACCTGCAAGCATGGATACCAAAGTTCCACGACACATGGACATGCGTCCAGCTCTGTAAAATGTGTGGTTTGTCGTTTGGTGTAGGATGTAGAGCGGCTGGAGCAAGAGAAGGAAGCGTACAAAGAGGAGGGCAATCTGTATGTGCACGCGTCGCGCATGTGATGCATGCAAAGGAGCTTGACCTCAAGGCATGTACTTTGTATGCAGTTCTTGGCCACTCGCTCTGCCAGGACAAAAAGAGATTGGCGCAGGTGAAAGAAAAGATCAAGCAGTCTGAAACGTCCCTACCTCAATGCGGTGCAGCTGACTTCGAATTCACTTGGCCTTGATGAATTCAACCTATGCTCCAGGCTCCTAAAGCGAATGGAGTTTCAACATGAGGCAGGCCGCATTTGTGAAAGATAGATGGGGAAGTGGGGAGCTCAGAAGTTCTCAGAATGTTTGCGGGCAGGTGCTGCAGCAGCAATTAGCACATGTGACTGCTGAGAGAGAGGACCTAGGGTTGGGCAAGGGGCTGCTTAAAACCCTGCGTGATGTCTGGACAATGTATTTTTTGTTTGTCGTGCAACGTTCTCACTCCATCATGTTTCACAGTGAGGATCTCTACACAAAGTTTCAGCAAGCCATCTATGATGCAAGCACCTCAAATCGGCGAACTCCAGCACAGAGTTTTGACACAAGGAGCACTCAGTATTTGATATACTGTTTGCAAACCTTTGGCATCATGCTTGAGGTTCAGCAACGAAGCGGGCTGAAGAATTTGATCCTCGAGAAGAAGATCGATACCGTCGAAGAGGTGTGTCAAGACGCCATGGGAAGCTGTGATGCTCAAAGCTGATATTTGAGGCTTTGGAGACCACAGAGGCCCAGATCACAGAATTGCTGGCCTCTGCAAATGCCTTCTGCTGAGACACTGAGCAAGAGCAGCAAGCGCAGCAAGAGCAGCAAGAGCAAGTGCCATTGCTATAGTTATATAAGTTTCCCTAAAAATCTAGGAACCAAAGGCATAGTGCGAGCGCTTCCTGGAAGAAGCGTGAGCTATCCTGCTTCCTACCTAGGAGCGTCCTGTACCTACTAGCTACCTCAGTTCCTTACTTAATTAAGTAGGCGCCTACTTAATTAAGTAGGGAGGGGGGGAACGGGCTAAAGAAAAGAACATGAAGATCAAGTGGCCCAAGCGGCCCGAGGGGCCAATCCCTGCGCAGAGCGTCACTGCTCGTGGGTTGAGGTGGATCCCACTACGTCCGCTGGCATCACCCAGAAGCTGGACCAGGCCTGAATCTGAGAAGAGTTGAAGTTTGAAAAAGGTTGAGGGAGAAGTTTGAAGTTGAGAGAGAAGTTTGAAGCTCTCCAACCAAAGGTGATTGCCTACAAAGATGACATTGTCGGGCAGCTTCAGGACAGGCTGAGAATTATATCACCAGCTTTCTGGGATTCTGTGTTCATGTCATAATCTCTGTGTAAGGAAGAAGTGCAGCGGATCAAGGATTCTCATTCCACTATGGTTCCCACCTCAGCCAAGCACGGGCTTGAAAAGCGCTTTGTTGACGATCCGATCGCCAAACCTGTAGATATGTTTGAGGTCAAGACATATGAGTCCAAGCTGGCGGAATATGGCATTCCACCAGAGGACCACTGTTATGCAAAAGGCATCAGTCAAGTACACTTGAAGCATTCTGAAACCGACACGTTTTGAACGTGTCATGAGGAGCTTGGCTTTGTCCCGGCTGTCGGATGAGAAGCGCCACTCATGTCTTGAGCGTGTACAGATTCTCAAGCTGCCGTCATGGCTTTCGTCTCACACTGCTTTGCATTCCCCGTCATGTGTTGACATGCTGGCAACCCTACCAATCCTCCATGTTGTGTGACAGTCCGACAGTGACTGCAATACAGTTCAGGCTGAGGAAGAAGCTTTCCTGGCTGTTTCACTTCGCATGACAGGTTTCACGTGAAATAAAAGAGCATAGACTGTTGCCTTATTTTACGCCGGTGCAAAGAAGTAAGTTGCCAAATGCTAAATGCTGCTTTCGATCATTTTAGCTAGCCAAGGCCACCTCATTTCCAAATATTGACAACTAGACTCACAGCAAATCGTTCCGTGCAAAGCGGCAGGCCAAGGATGAGATGTTTGTGATGCCACTGGCCACTACAGGGTCCACCAACACAACAAAATAAACGCGACAATCTTGTCAACATACAGACACGAAACGACATTAAGAAAACTGTTGCCAACGAGAGAAGCTTTTGGCGCGGAACTCTTATTGAAACGTCCTTTAATTGCAACAAATTAAACAGCCTTTTAACGTGGAGCCGGCAACGGTTGAGGCAACAAGGAGCTTTCTCCTTGATATTGACGGTAACTCTTTTGGTAGCCGCGGCTGAGCTGCGAGCCTCAAGACCTTACTCCAAGCTATGCGCAAATACCGTAGGACCGACTATGCCAGCTATGCCCATGGAGACTCGGTTGGACTTGTCAGATTGGAGGTGAACACGATAGGATGCGATTTGCTGAACACTCAGGAGCGCTCATAGCCAGATGATCAGAGGTATGGCCACATCAATCTGGGGAATTTCTCTTCTTTGGATCTATGTCTGTGCTTGCAGTGGAGAAGGCACTTGAGTGTGCAACTGATGTGCCACACACCTGTGGACCTGCATTGTTCAGTAGTCTTGGTGCATGGTATGCTGTACAAGATTCTGTCAGGCAGCGCATGTCCTCCAACGCCACCTCCAGTCATCACCACGCAGGCCTGCATTTTTACCGTATTGACTAGAGAGAGAAAGCTTTGTTAGCTAAATGAGGAAATAAACATTTGATAGCCTTTGCAAAACCTGTGAACTGTTTCATACTCTCATGGCCCAGCCGATGTAGGTCCTGATCCAGACCGGCATCAATTCATCGGCTGTCAGCCAAATGCCTGCGAAGCCTGCGAATGGAACTGCAGAAGCCGACCAGAGTGACCAGACTGCGAAGGAACTGCCTTGGTCAAGCTTGCAAATCTGGCTGGTCATGAAGGCAGTTATGCTTCTCCTGCTTCTTCTATGTGCGGTTGCATGTCTGGGCAGTCTTCGCCAGCCAGATATTTTTAATCTTAGAGTGAAGGACACCATGACTTATAATGCTTTAGGACTTCTGAGCTGGATCGCACTTCTGAGTGCTTCCCGAACAGTATGGATTAACAAAACGATTTGGATTATGGCCTGCCGCTTTTGCAGCGTTGTCTTGGCGGTTGCTCTACTAGAGATCTCCATGTTTCCAGATCCTGGCTCAATGGATCCTTTGGCTTTCTCAGAAATCACCAGCGTCCTCACTGTTTTTGTTTCACTATTGACGCTGCTCTTTGCTTCAGCAAGTTGTTCTTTAGTCTTCTTTCCTTTAAATTTCCCATCCTGAAAGGGTCTTAACTGGTCTGAATAATTTTTTTGTCTCACTATCTTTGTTGAAAATTGTCCTTCAACTTTGGTGCAGGTTGGGCTTCTACTTGACCAGCTCGGTGAAACGCTGGAGCACTTGCATCGATGGCTTTCTTAACCTTTTCGAGGTCATTCGAGCTCTGCAGATGCAGCTTCATGCTTTAGGAGTTGGACGTGGTGACATTGTGCTGCCCTGAGATGTCCCACAAAAGAATTGAATCAATGTGCTCACCCAGATTTGTTTCTACTCCTTTGTATCGCGCCAAGGCAAGAGTTGTTCGCTGCTAGGCTGCATTTTCTGCAAATACGGCCATCTCCTTTTCATGGGTCCTTGCTTCTGGTCTGCAGGATATGGGTTGGTCTCCAGCTGGCTTTGTGCTCGCTTGCAACGAATTGACAATATTGCCAGCAAGAAGCTCCTTGTCAGCATATTGCTTCAAACGCCTCTATGCGATGCATACTACCAGCGTCACCACATGATAATGACAATATCTATCAAAAAGGTGCAGCCCTGTTGATTCTGATCCTTCAGAACGTGGGATGTCTTATGCATCCGGGCAATTTCTGAGGAAGAAAGCGGTGTATTCTCCATTTCAAGGGCTCAGGGATGCTCCTGACGTTTTCCTAAGCTTGACAGACGAGGAGTGCGAGTGACCCGTTTTGCAATTTTTGGTGAAGATGATTTGGCAGAACAAACGTTTTGGGAAATATGTTGCTTCCCGCCAATGTTTCAGCTGGTGACAGACTTGCTCCGAGGAAGCTTGAAGGTATCGATGATCCGTGTCCAATCCTGTGGCTTTGGGTCGCCTTGTTTCTAGGGCGCTTGGCCTCAGATGGCGACATCCCCCCAATGGCATCGCCAACATATGGCCGAATGGTCATGTTGGCCAACGACGCACAGGTAGCACTCAAGGAAATCCGCATGACTACAGAAGTGAAGATTCCTTACCTCTACACCCACACTCTATCAGCCATTGTCCATCTTAACAACATCCTTTGTGCCATCAGCATGGGCCTTACCTTGGGATCTTGCATTGGCGCAGCTCTCACAAGCATCGATTCTAGATTGACGCTTTATGGTATTGAATCATACCCAACATCGACAGCCTCGCAAACACTGCAGCTGCTATTGGTGCAATCCTTGAAGTGTTTTTTCGTGCCACTACTATACCAAGCCTGCCTGGAAATCTGCTTCTGCTTGTATTCGGCCTTTGGAGGAGAGACAGAGGAAGCAATGATACCCAGTGATCGAATGGTCAAAGAGTGGAGCAATGAGCTTGCTGGCCTCATGGATTTGGCGATGCACCCCCCTCACTGGCAAGCGCCTGCTTTCAAGCATTCCATTTCGCATGTTCCAGACATTCAGAGGACCAAGGCACAAATATCGCAACCCGGCTTCGGTCCTGAGTTGATATGTTGATGTATATCAGCTCTCTAGTTTGCCAATCAACCGTTGCTGTAACTGTGTTTCAATCAAGAAGACGCGTGCAAGAGTCTTGTTGTCGTACCCTTTGAGTTTTTCAAGGCAAAGTGCTAAAAAGCCGATGAAGGTGTGAGTGCCTTGGATTGATTGAGAAGTGTCTTGCTCAACGTCAACCCAAAATCTGCCACTGCAGGGTGGTTACGCAGTATCAAGTTTGCACCTTTGTGATCCAAGGGAAGAGGTACGCAGTCGTGCTGGAGGTTGAAAGAGACGACATTGGTTTTGATGGGTTTCGAGTGGACTGAGGTCTCCTTGAGTTTGCTTAAAGTCTTTTCAAGCAGCTCTATTGTACTTCAGCTTGTTTTGGACACCTTTTGGGCTCAAGTACGCAGCTGATGACACCAGTGCTTGGACCATTGCCGAATGGTGCGCCAGTCAGATACACCTTTGTGCTTTGAGAATAGAGCTCAGCAGTGTTCATGCTCGCTTGTCAGAGGCATGCTGATGTCTTGGAGATATCTTGCCTCTTGAGCTGCATTGGAAGAGACTTGTTGGCTCGTAATAGTAGAAATAGTGGCCACTCAGGGCTTGAGCAAACCAGTGCTGGCCTGATGTGAGCGTTTGGCCTCTAGGGCACAGATCATGGGAAAGCAAGGAAAGAGCACCTTGGCAGCAGGGCATAAGTGCTTGAAGATTGAGAACACATCATGGCAAGGTGGAGAGGAAGCTTTGTGAGGGTTTTGACACGCACTGCTGAGGAAAGTTGAAGGGTGACGCAGGTGACACAAAGATTCAGAGGCGCTTGAGCAAGCGGAGAAGGGCGACCAAAAAGGGCAACCCATCAGATGATGAAGGTCTCGGTGACGCCAGAAGCTCAGATAAGGCGACAAAAGATGAAATTGCTTTTTTTTTCTTGTCATAATGTGACTCTGCTGTGGAACAGCGTTGATAGTGCCTTTCCTATTTGATGGCTTGAGTATCCATATTCATATTGAGCTTCTGCATTTCCGTCGACCTTGGATCTGGCATGTTTGAGACCCATGTGCATAGACATAGCCTGATGGCTTCCATTGATCCCGATGCCCCTGGCTACAGAAGATATCGGTATCGCGAGCCTCCTGTCAATTTTCAGTTTTTTTTTTGGATATGTGCCAGTGTTCACACGAGTTTACTATGGATGGCAATCAGTTGCTAGTATGAGGAGTCCTATTCAGTCAAGGATGACCATTCCCAGTTTCTGGAGGAGGGACCACGGCTTTGCATTGACATTCATTTAATATATACAGTATATACATATAACTTAATGCATCGGTAGTACGGCGGTCTCAGCACTTTCACTTGGGAGTCATGGATTGAATTGAGGAATGTTGAGAGACTGAGAAAGCTTGAACTCACATTCGTGGCGAATCTATGAGAGTTCGTGTCTCGGGAACTGGATTTGGGGCAGACAGTAGGAAGCAGCAGAGGGGCAAGCACTTGGTTGTGCACCCCCAACAGTGTTTGAGAAGCCAACCCATCACGTCCAGGTTTGTCGGATGGTTGATGCGGAAAGAATCGGTCGCTCAAGATGGGAGACCGAGCCGACAACAATGCGCAAGTTTTGACGTGTCAAAAGTGTTCCAGAATCATACTGTATACATATATATATATATACATATGTGTATCCATGCTACTTTTCACCTGTGTCATACTGGTATGTCAGTTCTGCATGCATTCTCACTCCCTTTTTGAGGTCCAATGATGAGGATATTTTATTTTTGTTATTTTGCCTTGACTAACTAATGTGTTGACGAACTATCATCGCTCGATGAAACTACCAGACTACCAGACGCCAGACGGTCCAACATGGATCGAAAATATCTTGAAGGCCGGCCGCTTTGTCAGACACTTAGCCATAAGAAATACAGTAGAATCCACGCAAGACAAGTGTAGATCATCGGTCCCCACCCGACCACCCAAATTGAGCATGACTAAGTTTTCCCCACCCCAACCTCCAGGATGGACGTAAGAGTAAGTCTCCCATACCACCCCCAGGATGGATATGGTTTGGGGTGCGTGGCCCACAGCGCTCCTACCTCAAAAAGTTTTCCTCCCCCTAAGTTGGCATCACGTGAAACTCTTGTTAGGTGGGTGTGAGCCCGAGGAAGCGTCCAAAGGGACATACAGGTTTTGTTTGTAGAACACGCATGAACACGCTATTCTTGATCCAGCCCAGGTTCGGGGAGGAGGCTGTTGCTGAATTTGATGATGCACACTTGGCTTGGAGCGGTACATTTGAGTCTCATACGTCTTCTGCACACAGCGAGTATCAAGATAGATTGCGAGCCATTCACTTGCGCAAGCAGGGATGGACAAAAGCAGACATTGCAAAAAGTATCGGACGATCAGACAGGTTTATATCTCGGTGGTGGCAGCTCGAACCACTTGCTGTCCCACGTCCACCTGGAGTTCATCAATACCTGGCCCACAGTATGATAAACGAGAAGAAGGTGGACCGTACCAACATGTGGAGAGGTGTAGAAGTAGTGAGAGGTTTCTTCAAGGATACTTCTGGCTTGTATGATGAGGTAGTCTCCAATTTCACCTCATGGAAGCAATCTGCATCAGAGACAAAAGACTTCAGGACAGCATCTTACTTTCTTCGTTATGACCGTGAAGGCAAAATGCGAATGATGACAATGAAATCGGCTGGCTACAGGTCTGGTCTTGTTCCGCGATTGGATGCACTTGTATCCAAAATCCATCAGAAGATCAAAATCACTGATCCCAATCATGGTGCAGGCATGTATTGGTTTTCAGATGGAGACGCCAGCGTGGGAAGTCACAGACATGTTTTCTGGAGTGCCAGAGTAGCCCTGGGCGCTGAACGAATCATGATGGTGGACAAGACACCCATCCTGATGCAGGAGGGCGATCTTGTTATCATAGGACCTCAGCGGCACGGCGTGCCATCCATGCCGGACATCAGTGAGGGGAGTCTGAGAATATCAGTTCCTTTCAAGCCAACAAACAATGAAACAAAGAAGGGCCAGCGTGAAGAGGCAGATGGATGGGAAGGGCACGAAGAGTACGAAGAGTACGAGGAATACGAAGAGTACGAAAGGGGAGCTGAAGAGCAAGAATTATATGGCAGTTGCACAGACGTACAAACTCTTGTGTCCATGGGCTTTGACGAGACTGCTTCGGCGACGGCACTTGAATTTTGTGGCAGCCTTGAGAGAGCAGTTGAAGCATTGACTAATCCAGAGTTTGCTGAAATCTTGAAAGTACAAGCCGTCCAAGCCGCAGAATCAGCAGATGTTGCAGATGTTGACGAAGCTTTAGCAAGGAGATTGCAGATGGAGGAGCTGCAAGAAGATGATACCGAGCTGCAAGAACAATTCGAAGAATATGAACGGCTTTTGGAGATTGATGATGCTGAGAGGGGATGGGATGGTTATGGAGACCTGATGCACAACTCCGTTCGAAGAGCCAATTTGAATCTTGACATGCTTGGACCACAAACACTGTACTCTGTGGGAGCAGCTGCTCAGACTGAAAAACAGTTTTTCGAGCTCTTGTCTTTGCACTCTATTCGGATACTTTATGACTTCAGGCAGGGTGCTCATCTACGATGATACATTTTGGTAGAATACTCTTATTGCAAGGGCTTGGTAAGTGATTATGGAAGATGCCAGGTGTGGGTGACATAAGCTGCTGGTCCCCCTGGTTTTGCAGCTAACATGATCGTTGTGTTTCCCTTCAATTGTTCAGACATTTTTTCACTTGGTACAGTGCAGATTCTATGCTTTGGTAGTTGCGTGGCAAGAAGAAGGCTGTCCCGCCCAATGCTGAAACAGCGCCGCCAAGAGGACGATTGAGACCTTTACTTGCGATGGCCCCCAACCTTCACTTTAGTTATTCCTTGAATGCTTTAGTATGCACATGCACATGCACCCTCCTCGTTGCGCCAATTCCAACATGAAGCCTTTGGAATTTATCCTTTCCTGCTGGCTTGCCAAGCTCTTCCTCTGGATCGAATCCGTAAATTGGGGAAACTCTTTTTAGAACCAACCGACCCTTCCAGTAAGACATCCTGGCCCATGAAAACCTGTATATAGGGCGTCCTCAGACAGTCTACGACCAAGTCCAGTTGCGAAACAAACTTTGCTCGGTTCTTTTCCTCAGCCCCGGCTTGTTGCAAAGGGACAACCCCTTCCAGGCCCTCGGACTACAAAGATGAGGTCCGGTACCAACAGCCACATTTCGAAGTGCGCATCCTCAAGTCCAATTGCCGACAACGCAACATACACTACCGACACGTGGCAGTGGGTAGGGAGACAGCTTTTGGCGTTTTGCGGCACTTGCAGAGTGATGAAGTACAGCATATTCTGGTAGAGTTGACCTGGCAGGCCAAGCACAAGGGAAGGACTGCCTTCCTGGGTCCTGAAGAGGATTGGCAGGCAGATGGTCGAGTTGCCCTGGCCGAGGAACTTGTCAAACATGGACACAGAGTTTGTCACATTCGCCGAGATGGCGCGTTGGAAAAGCATTCAGCTGGGACACAGATGCCGGACTTTTTGGTACAAGAAGAAGCACGCTTGCGCAAGATCCACGCGCAGCGCCAAGCAGGGGAGCTTCATCGGCCTGAGAAATCAGCTGTGGATCGCAGTACAGAGGCCGTGGCGCGTTCTCTCGCAAGTGAGAAGACTCAGGTTGACGTAAGCGCTGAACTTCGGGATGCCGAAAACCAGGATGCTCTTGTCAAGGCTCAAAAGCGCATGGTCCGGCTGCAGGTCTCTGCTAACAAGAAGGAACCCGGCCTTGGGAAAAAGGAGCTAGTAGGTGTCCCCTCTCACATTGCTCGGGAGGCGGCGGCTGTGAGAGAACGCTTGGAGGCAAAGAAGGCTGACAAGTCCAAAGGCACTTCCACCCCGAAAGTGGACACCAACTATGTCGATCATTCTAGTTCTGCAGCGGCATCGTCTTCGGAACCTCCGCAAGAATGGTCTGTGGGGCAAACAGAGGTTCAGAATGCTCCCGCCCGGCCACCTGTGGATTCTGGAACCATGGCAGAGCCGGTGGAACCAGAGCACGTTGAACCCGAGCTCGTCGAACCAGAGCGCCGACGTCGCTGGGGATCAAGCGACCCCAGACCAGAGAATGTGTCACGCCGTTGGGGGAATCATGGTGATCGAAAGACTTAAGACAAGTGCTGAAGGCCTTACGCGTGTTCACCCCGAATGTTCAAGAGATGCCGGTGTCGCAAAATCCAAAAGATCCTTGCAATAGAAATTGGACATTGTGCTGAACCTGCGCCATTGGATCGATCAGAGAAGGGAGCTGACTTGAATCAAGTTCAACGAGAACCGGCAGCGAAAGTACCTCCACTCACCGAACAATTGTTGCGGATACTGCAATGATCATACTTATGCCTGCAAAAAGAGCGAACGGTTGCTTTCAATGATTGAATCGACATGGCAGTCCTTTTGTTGTGGTTCGGGTATAGCAATCTCAGAATCTTTACCCCAAAGAGCTTCTTTCACCAGAACTTCTTAAAAGAGTTGGATTCTTGACACCTGGACCTGAGGATGAGAACCTGACTGCTGCAGACCTTGATGTGGATGCTGTCAAAGCAGAGGCAGCTGCACAAGCTGAGCAAGAGAAGGACTGACCCTGACAGACCGAGACCTACGCAAGCGTTCGCAGGGGCTGACTTTTGTGTTTTTGGCACTCTTTCCCTCAGCCTTCTCCACATTTTGTGAGTGCAGATTAACACAGACTAATGAACCAATGTTGTATTGATGGTTTTGATGGTTGCTCTTAGTGCGCTTATGGATTTCGGGCTGGTTCTTTTCCTTCCCTGCTCATTGCACACCTTCATGACCAGCTCTATTGTCCTCATGCACACTTTAGTTTGACTGATCTTTGGGGTTGACAAAGTCGATTTACCATCTCAGCGGCGTGTCATAGCCTGAGGCCTCTCACCCCACCGGCCTTTATCGCTTCATACCGAGAGGGACATTTGGCATCTTTCTAAACACTCATCAGGGCTCAGGATGCAACAGCCTCTACACAGGGCATGCAGGAAGCTGACGGGCCGCATGAAGGTCACCAGTTCTTTTTTTGATTGTTGGCTTGATGCAAGTGTGGCAACAAGCTCAAGCTCTGTCGGAACGCGTGGAAGGGGCATGTGTTTTATGCTGCTTTGAATATCTTGTGTTTCAGTTTGTGACATGTTCACTGCCAAATGTGGTTGTTTCGTTCAAGTCCTTCTAAAAGCCAACCAAAAAGAGATCCCATATACTAAGAAAGCGGTCGAGTGCCATTGTTGATTAGATTGATTGAATCTTAAATAGTCTTCTCGGACTACTGAGAAGCTTGCACGTGTATCCACTATACAGCTTTGATGTTTCTTGCTCTATGTGAACAATTGCTCACAACAAGGAGTTTCAAATGCAAATCATGGGACTAAATCCACTGCGATGCCCTTCAAGCAGCAAATTCTTTTTCTATTCAGAGTAGCGTAGCAATTTTCTTTTTGAGTGAGGATAGAAGAATAGAAGTATAGTATAGCAGTATAGCAATCTTCAGTTCAAAAGCGAACGCCTTCTTCTTCGCAGGATGCTCCACAGGATCAACAGGACAAATGCGCCTTCCATGACTGTCATCACAGTTGTTTGACAAATTTCTGAAGTTGAGGGCTTTTGCTGAGTCTTTCGGGTGCAGGCATTTTTGCTCCAGCTTTGCTAGCAACTCTTCGTTGTTTCATGTTACGGATGCACCGCCTCACTAAATATATAAATCACTATATAAATCAATATACAATAATATATATATATATACACATTTTCTTTTTAAGCGCCATTGCATTAAGCACGGCGGAGAAAGCCGGCCGCAAGAGACATTTGACCATTTTACCAATGCTTCACTTCACAACTCGCTGCCATGGGAGTGCTTGCAGGGATGAGTCTCATCAAGGCATCCTTCACCTGAGATTTTGTTCCGCACGATGACTGGTTCCAGAAATTTTCTTTGAAGGTCTTTTTCGTTTTCGTTTGTTTGGCCCCGAATGTGGCGGACTGAGAAGGGATTCCCGGGTGAGCTTTCTTGAAAGATTTCGCTGAGGCGGGAGAATTGCTCTCGTTCAACCGCTGTGATGGAGGCCATAGCAAGCTTCTCAGGAGCTAAGTCAGAGGATGGTCGTTGCCATGTCAGAGTTGGTCAACCAGAAAATTGAAATTGACAATTGCTCATATCATTTCTGTTGGGGGACTATGTGCTTCGCAAGATGGGGAGTCGCAGTCTGCACTTCCCAGGTCGTGTCGGCAAGGAGATTTGGGATGAAGTGAAGCACATGCTTTCCATTGATATCGCAGGCTAGACTGATAAGTGGAAGCTACTAGGGGCTCCTGGCCATACTACAAGGAACAAGAAGCTACTAGGGTTTAGTGGTTCTTGATGCTACAATGATCAGACATGGATCTTCCAGGCCGTGACATGGGAAGAAACTTGGACCCTCGCTCTGCAACGCTGGCTTGTCTTCTTCGCAGCAGCTGTTTTGTTCATAGGGCTGAATAATGCCAGGACAGCTTGGAAGCACTACGCCAAGTCATGAACAGCCAGGCAGGTAGGTTTCCAACAAATGTAAGGAAACAGCAATTGGACAATTGGACAGCAGGTACTACCAGATTTGGACAATGCCGTGAAGGAGTACAAACAGGGCCTAACTCTCCATCACTTGCTAACTTACTTTACTTCTGTTTCTTCGACACTTTTGGACGTATGTCGACACTTGGAGGATTGCGCCTTCGGGGTGATGTCTTTAATTTGGCTTACCCTTGTTGCGGTCGACTCAGAGGACGCGAGCGAACCTTTCGCTACTGCTCTTCAATTGTAACAGCTCACTTTGCCCTTGCTTTGAGGAGGGATTGGAGAGAGCCAGGTACCTGCAGGCGTCAAGACATGTTGTCACAGGTCTGGTTTGGAGAAATGTGGTCACAGGGTTAAAGTGTGGTCAAAGATCTATTGAGCAAGCTGGGTGGTGACCTTGTGAACCTGAGGAGGAGACTCACGATAGGCTTGAAGGAGAATCAATGACACGAGTGCTCAGATTACCCAGTTTAAACACATTTTGCCGTGTCTCCTCCTTCCAGATGCTGCTGGGATTGTTGTTTGGTCTCATAGATTCATATGTTTTTTGCGTGCCCAAGAACCGGTTCAATTTGATGTACTGTAGCTGCCAGGCTCTTGCAGATGGCTTGTTCTTTCAGCTTGCGGATTTGTTGGAGGTGCCTTGCAATCTGCCGCAGATCTTGATCCTTTGTGTAATCTTTGTAGGAGTCAACTTGGCCGCTGGAGCCTGTCAAGTACTTCAGCTACAGGCGGCGGGACGAAGTTACACAGAGAGTTGTTGCACCCTTTCCAAGCCATCCTAGATTTACCATGCTGCAGGCAACTGCTCGGACATGAGAGAAATGACTGTGGTGGCAGCGGGCTTCGTGCTTTGGCCCCGGAATGCAAGGCAACTGTCAGTACATCTCCTTTCTCCGGGCTTTTCAGTCAACCTTAGGGCTTTTAAGTAAAAGACTTGCATTTGTTTCTTCCTTCTCTTGGGAGTGTTCTCGAACCAGACATTGCCAAGGTCTACGTCTACAACTCCACCGATCTGACACGACGGCGTCTCTTGACAGGTGAAGCCCAAAGCCACGTTTTGAAAGTGAATGTGCTACTGGTAGGGTTCGCAATCTTCAGAACTGGAATCGTGGAAAAGCAAGGGGAGATGCTTCGAGGAAGCGTTGGGGATTCTTCCAGAAAGTTTGATGAGAGAAACATTTATGAAGAACTCTGGCTACGCGAAACAGTTGGTAGATTGCACAGGGTCGGCAGCATTGGTGTCTTCGGTGACAGGCTCTGGTATGATGGCAGCAGCATCTCACATCCACACTTATTTGGAGCAGAGTTCTTGCACTACGGAGGACTGATTGCCGACTTCTTGCTGCTTTTCATTGATTCTCCGTCAAGATGCTGTGCAGGATCCAGAATCTGCAGACCTTTTCTTCTTGCCAGCCTACCATGGAAACCAGTGACCAACTCTTGTTCTCACAGAATGGTGATCCGAAAGTCGTTACCCAGCCGTGTGATTCGTGATTCGTGATTCGGTGCCTGGCCCATATCTAGATTCGCTCCTCGAGCGCGATGTCATTCGTGACATGGAAACGAGATTTGTGATGCGAGCAATCAGGTTTTGTGATGTGATTGATGTGAGCAATCGTCAAGACATGGAATCTTCCACAAAAGCGATGCCTCCCTAGAACATGCACGATGGACATGGTCTCAAGTTTACTTGCATGACAATTGGTATGTTTTGGTTGATATTTAGGTTCTTCATTGATTTATCTGAAAAGGAAGTCCACCTGCATGTCCTGATGACATAGATGCGAACTTAGATGTAGTTCCTTCAGACGGTAGAGCCTGCTTGTGTGGCTGGGTATGCTCCGTTTCCATGACTCCTTCCTCTTCTAAATTTTACTCTCGAAGGGCTCACACAAGGTATCCTACGTCCCCATGGTCTCTTCTTCCTCTTGATTGGCTTGCAAAAGGTATGCTACGTTGGAATGACTCCTTCCTCCTTCATTTGTGACTCTACTATACTATAATCCTTGAGATCCACCGACCCTGAACGTGATTTGTGATTCGTGCTTCGTGACCCTGCCTTGGAGCTTCTCAGGATCACTGGAACCCAATTGGCTGACGTTGTTTGGGATATGTGCCCAGGTACGACACCTTTTTGGCGGAGCTCTCTCATGCGGAGAAATCTGATGAGAGGCCGAAGTACTCACCTGCTGTGAGCGAGGTGGCTGTGTTTGATTTGAAAGTTGCCTTGAGTTCACTCAGATTCCCCTACCTCACTCAGCGGCCTTCGGACCACTTCTTTGTGGTATCGGTCGGGTCCTGACCATATTCTTGCTTCGAGGATTGTTTTAGAGGGCGGATAGATCTCTGATTTCGTCACTTGCGAAGCTGCAAGTACATGAGAGAAGCTTTTTCGTTTGCCCGAGTCTTTGACAATGGAGCAAGCAAACTACAGCACTGTAGGTTCCAGGATGTTCTAGGTTTGCCATGTTTTGGAGATTGCACACAAGGCCAATTTACCTTCTTGGAGCGATCTGGCTCCTTTGCGCAACTCCATGCAGCTCACTGTGTGGGGCTAAGTCTCTCTGCATGACCTAAAGAGATACATGCTAGTTAAGTTTCCTTAAGAGTCTAGGAACCAAATCATTAGTGCGAGCGCTTCTTCAAGGCCTTTAGGGCGGCGGGGCGGCCTTGAAGAAGCGTGAGCTATCCTGCGTCCTAAGTAGTAGCGACTTAAGCTACTAGCTACCTCTTCTACTAGCTACCTCTAGCCACTACTAACTACCTCCTAGTGGCCGCCACACCCCTCTAAAAATAAGAAAACAAAGTCCTGGAAGCTTCGATTTCGTGCGAGGTGGAGTCCTGGCAAACCAACGAAGGAATTCCGCGGTACGCCCTATTTTGCGTGGTGTCCTTCAAAACCCTTTGGCACCTTCGTCATTGTGATTGCGTCGCATGCGGTTCAAGGTGGTCTTCTCGCTGGAAGGATATCATGATCCCCGGATATATTGATCGTCCTTGCCTTGTGGTTTGCCAGTTGCTTTGCCATTGGATCCTTGCATTTGAGCTTCCCAGGCTGGCGGATAGATGCGATGCGGGCGGTGAACAAACCAACAGAAGAGCGAGGTTTCGTGCTGCTTACTTGCAAAGGGCAAGGCTTCGCGTGTTCACCTTTTCCGGCTTTTGGTCGTCCAACATAGAGCTACGTGCAGCATGCAAGAGTTCGAGCCACCTTTTGAGGTTGGTGTTTCATGGCAACCATCCTGGGAACCATCAGCTGTATGTCAAGCACAAGGCTGAGGCATGGCAGTCTAGGTGATGGATAGACTGATTATTTCAAAAGGGAGAAGCGAGTTTCATGACGTGAATCATATGCCGCATGTTTTACTAGTTCTTTCGCATCAAAGTGGCTCAAGCCTTGGTGTTGAGCCAAAGACGCTAACGAAGCTGCCGACCTCTGGCCTCTCATGGAGGAACGTTGAGCTCGGTAAGGGCCTTGGGAGCACACTTGCTGAAGATGTCAGTCACACAATGGCTATATGTGACTCCATCACTTGATGATGTTTCAATCATTTCAATCTTTTCCGATCGTCCTGTGAAGACTCTTCCAAGGCCAAATTGAACCTGATGCTGGGCCTGGTCACATTGGGTGTGTTGGTATTTGTGCAGGGCTTGTTCCCTTCGTACAGTTACCGAAGCTTTCTTTTCGGGCTCCATCCTTGGAGCAAGCGACACATTCTTTTGAAAGAATTGATCGAGGCAAATGCTGATAAGGTGCGGCCGTGTGGTTTGACAAATGCAAAGGGTTGACGGATCTGCTGGATGTCACTCAGAGGCTCCTCGTTTACGCCAGACGGATGTGAAAAAGGCAAGGATTCAGTGTTGAAGTTTGAGATCTCCTATTCAACGACTTTACGACTTCTGACATGCAAGGCCTCTTTGCTGGCGGCTAGTGCTCAGCATGAAGGGCTTCCGCATGGTGTGGGTGCACCAAGGCACCGCCTTTCGA